CAGTCAGTCAGTCAGTCAGTCAGTCAGTCAGTCAGTCAGTCAGTCAGTCACTCAGTCAGTCAGTCAGTTTTCCTGCTCCTCTCCTCTTCACCTCGAATTTGAGGCAAGGCACATTTGATTGATGATATGGTTGAATAGAAAAACGTCGCACTTTTGCCCGAGATGATACTCGACGTATGCTGCAGCAGTAAAACAAAAACTGACAAATCTCCCACCTGCATAACTTGTCACTTATATGAGTGGTTTCTGCCCCGGCGCAACAACTGCGCTGCGTTTTTCATAATTATCCGTCAAATTTCACTCATAACCGTTCAAACTTGCACATTTATCTGTGAAACGTGTCGGCCGGGACAACAAGAAATTGGTGGCTTTAGAATTAAGGCATGCAGTTCTGTCATTAAGTTGTGCAGAAACAGAATTGCTCACCTGTGGAGTGTCGCCTTGTAATCAGAAAATAAAAGGTTCGAGTGTCTGGCAAGCTGCTTCACAGAGGAAAAGGCAGTCAATGCAGCACTGTGACCTCACTGTTGTAGAAACTCTGTTGGAAAATAAGGCTTCTTAACGATGATATCGGTACGAGCATCAGTGCAGGTTAGGTGCCATCAGTGGCACTCACAATGCGGGTATAAGAGCATCAGTTTTTAGCTCTGTCGCAAAACTAATAACCTTAATTATGGTAGATGCAAATTATTTCTGTTTCAATGGCAGTTTCTTCAAACGAACCAAAGCAGCACCCATGGGGGATCCATTTTCTGGAATCCTTACAGAAATTTTCATGGAGCACTTTGAAAATGTGACTCAAGGCACGAACCCAAACCTTTTTTCAAGGATTTTCAAGAGACACATAGACGATATTTTTTTCCATTTGTCCGAATGGTGACGAAAAACAGTACAAGACCTACTCATTAGCCTATTTCCTCAAAATATCGACTTAACTACTGTAAGAGAAAGCAAATCCAGTGTACCTTTTGTTAATGCGAAAATAATGAACCCTGGTAGCTGCTATAAAACTAAAGTTTATCGTAAGCCTACTAATACTGAAAAATATCTAAACTTTAAATCACATAATCATTTAAATGCTAAATGTTCTGTGGTTAGAACTTTAACAGACAGAGCCCTGAAGATCTGTAGTAATGATTTTCTTAAAGACAAAAAAATTGGATCAAATTAACCTTATGCAATAACGATGATTACGTAGCTAAATTCATTAATAATATCATAAACCGTAGAATAAAAAAGAATAATAAACCACACTCAATTCTATCACATTTTGAAAACTTACAAAGATTACCTCGTACTAAATTTAATATTAATTTCATATATAAAGCTCTAATAAATTTAATGCGTTCTCAAATAGTTCTGAGATTGATAGCTCTCTGGGCTGGGTTTGCAAATTACAATGTAATTACTGAAAACATTATAATAGAAACGGGAAAAACCGTCGCGCAAAGAACAAACACCCCCCTGCCTGTCCAAGAGAAAAAGATGGATGATCTCGGACGAGCGTGAGCGACAGGTAGTAACGAAGCACTGACGAAGAAAATAAAGCCTCGCCCCAAGCAAAGTAAGCGAACAATGCGAGAAGACCTTCAAGACTGTGCAGCATGCGG